TGCGTATTGACCCAGGAACAAGCACAAGATAAAGTTTCTTAATTGAAATTCTTTCTCTTTGAAGTTTAGTCACTGATGAATTTCATAATATTACAATTCTATATATGATTGTATTGACCTTTCAAGGCTGCAAAAGAAAACAAAGGAACAGAGATTATGGTGTTCAGGAGGAGATCTTGATTGCAGAATCACACAATGATTGAAGTTGGAAGGGACCTCAAGATCAGCTGAGCTGACCTGCTCAAACAAGGTCACCTAGAGCCAGTTGTCCAGGACTGTCTCCAGGTGACTTTTGAATATCTCCAAGGATGGAGGCTTTACAACCTCTCCGGGCAACCTGTGCCAGTGCTCGGTCACCCTCACAGTGACAAAGCCTTTCCTGATGTTCAGAGGGAACCTCCTGTGTTTCAGTTTGTGCCCATGGCCTCTGGTCCTGGCAGTGGGCACCAGTGAGCGGAGCCTGGCTCTGTCCTCTCTGCACCCTCCCTTCAGGTATTCATAGACATGGATGAGATCCCCCCGAGCCTTCTCTCCTCAAGGCTGAACAGTCCCAGCTCTCTCAGCCTCTCCTCATAGGAGAGATGCTCCAGCCCCTTCATCATCTTACTGGCCCTTTGTTGGACTCACTCCATTATGTCCATGGCTCTCGTGTACTGGGGAGCCTAGAACTGGACCCAGGACTCCAGGTGTGGCCTCATCACTGTAGAGTTAGCGGACAAGGTTCCTCTCCCTCGACCTGCTGGCAATACTTTGCCTGATGCAGCCCAGGATACCATTAGTCGTCTTTCCTGCAAGGGCACATGGCTGGCTCATGTTCAACGTGGTGTCCACCAGGACCCCCGGGTCCTTTTCTGCCAAGCTGCTTTCCCGCTGGTCAGCCCCCAGCGTGTACCAGTGCCTGGGCTTACTCCTCTTCAGGTACAGGATTTTGCAGTTCTCCTTGTTGAACTTGATGAGGTTCCTGCCAGCCCATTTCTCCAGCCCGTTGAGGTCCCTCTGGATTGCAGCAAGAACCCCTGCTGTATCAGCCACTCCTCCCAGTTTGGTGTCATCTGCAAACTTGCTGAGGGTGCACTCTGCCCCGTCATCCAGGTCATTAATGAAGATGTTGGACAGGATTGGACCCACATTGAGCCCTGGGGTACACTGGTAGTTACTGGCCTCCAATGAGACTTTGTACCACTGCTCACCACCCTCTGGGCCTGGTCATTCAGCCAGTTTTCAATCCACATCTGTCACCATTTAAGGCTGGGCCAGCTCTTAAAAACGGCGGCAGACTCTCTCTGTTAACCCCTCCCTCCCCCCCACCTCACTGCATGTCCAGCATCAACAGCTTCCCTATGAGGATCTTATGGGAGACTGTGTCAAAGGCCTTGCTAAAGTCTAGGCCTTTGACGCTGTCTCCCACAAGATCCTCACTATGGGTCCCTCATTATTTGTCTTTTGCTGGGTGCTTTTATTATCTTTGAGAGTCCATATTTCAGCTTGGCTACACTTGACATGCTGAGACATTCCTGGCATTTGGGACTTGGGTTGTTCACAAGAAGACAAACCTGTTTCTGCACAACTTTGAATGTGTGCCTTTTGAATGGTATTCCGTTATCAGTTTTTTTCACTAGACCATTTCTCCAGTATGTCAATGGAGTTCTGACTTCTTAGTATGCTTCCTGGCCTTTGTAGCCTGGCAGCACCTGTGGACTTAATCAGCATATTCCTTATTCCATTATCCAAATTTTTAAAATTATCTATTGGAGCCAGATGAAGGAAAGACCCAATCCAGAATGTATCTTTACATTTTTCACAATGAACTAGACTCTTAGTGTAGTTTTCCAGCTGTTATTTGTACCCATTCTATGACAACTTTAGGCAGCCCATATTTTTTCTGGCATATTTCACACTGTCTCCAGTGGTATTCTCATGCCTTCATGAAGTCAAGGTGTAGGATGTTTACAGGTTTGCTTTCATCAGGAAGGCCTCCTTTTTTTTTTTTTTTTTTTTCTGTCCAAGTCAGAAATTATACTTAGCTTGATATAAATGGCTGAAAATATGCCTTTGGCAAGCAATTAATCATATCCTTTTATGTTTCAGAGGGTCACCTTGAAAATATTTTGTCTAAGTGTGGGGTTTTTTTCTGGGTAATTTTGACAGGTCATCTTAGCTTTGTTTCTTTAACTTACCCTTTCCTATCTCTTTTCCTCTTTAAAAGTAGGCATTGTTTTATTTTATTTCAAGCTTCTGGATTCTCATGTGTTTTTCATGATTTCTCAGAGGTAACAGTTGAGATTACTCTGTGTTGTATAGGACCTGTTGGAGTAAATTTGACCAGTTGTAATTTAAAACAGATTAACCTCTCTATAAATTCTGTGTCTTGTAGTTCACTATTTTTGCTTGTGTTCTTGCTGTCTTTCTGCTGGTGGTGTGCTTGCCATCTGATTGCAGCTGACCTTTTTCTGAAAAAAATGAAACTAAAAGGCACAGAACACTTCTGTTTTCTTGGCATTGTCCATTTTCTTTCCCACTGAGTATTGGAATAAGTCTTTTCTTGCTGCTCTTCTTACTAATATATCCATGGAATTGCAGGGTTTGTGCTTTATATACGTTACCTTTTCTCATTTTGTGATGTGACCTTTCTGAGTTTGCTGCTGTATGAGTGTGCTGCTGTTATGCTTGTCCTTGATAATTTGACCTAGTTCCTTTTTTCTGATTACTCTTAACGTTTTGAATCATCACAGCATTTGTTAATTGCCAGCGGGTCTCTTACTGGATATACTTCCCACTATCTTCCGTGTTAAGATAGTTTGTATTTGTGTACTGAATACTGCTTCTCTGAGACGTGCTTAATTGTCCTGACTTCCTTGCACCAGAGTTGGGTTCTGGGAAGAAGAAATATCTCCGTAGAAGAAAGTATACTTGAGTAAACTCAGTGAAGTCCATTGATGTTGTTCACTGTTCTCCCTTTTACACGTACTAAGAATGACTAATTATTATTTTGTGAACACAGTCGATTACTTTGCTTTCCATCTTCGCATTCTCTCAGCTAGTTTATTTCAACATTAAAAAAACCCAACCCAAACAAAACCAAAACTGAATTTCAAGAACTGCCTGAACAGTCTGTTGTATTGCAGAGTCTGAAAAGTTGAAGAGCTCCTTCAAGCAATGTATTTAGGACAGATTCCTTTTATTCTTAGAAATACTCTTAGAATGAATTTTGAAGCCCATTCCTCCATTAATTGCAACCCTCAGTTGTTCTTCTGTATAACTGATGTGAGCTGGAATTTCCCCATTGCTTTTTTTTTTTTTTTTTAGTTGCAATGTTTCTTTAGTTTAGTCATTATGTATTTTGTATTTCTATGTTTTGTTTTGGTATTGTTGAGGTGTGTCTGCCTTTTTTCCTTCAGAAGGCTTTCTTTTAACTTTGTAATACTGGCACCTCTGATCTTACATCTTACCTCACCTTTGAGGACGTAATTTGGAGTGGAGGGAGAAGGAACAACTGCCTGCTAGGTATTGCAATGATGAATCTCAAATATCTTGATATTCACTCTGTTGAAGCTTTAAGTCTTAGGTAAGAAAGGAGTGCTAGAAGCAACCTTAAAATCTGTTCTTCCATGTACTTTTATGAAAACTTCTGCTTGCTGCCACAAAAGGAGAGAGGAGGCCAATGTCAGCAGATTCTTTTCACTCTTGTGGTTATGGTTTGTATCTGACCCAACATCTGAGCTAGTACACTAGCTGCCCTTTATAATCAGTGAAGAGAGCGAGCTACTTCTCTGAAAGGCAGACAACTGCATTTAATTAGGTAACTTAATCTGTAAAGGTGTCCCCTTCTCTCGAGCAGCTGGAAAGGAAGCCTAGTATATAGCTTAGGTGTAGGTGCCTACTTCTGGTGAAATTAATTTTAATTCTGACATTTACCCTTTCCATAGACCGTTATTGCAGTTCTGTTTAAGTACTGAGGGTCAAACCTGCACTAGCAGTAGGGAAGAACTGCTCTAGAGATCAAGGAAAGTAGGAAAGGGATTCATTCAATGAATGTAGAGTTTGCCTTTGTTTTTTCACGTGCCAAGTGAAAGATTGATTCTTGTGATGCCTGTAGAGCCCATGTTGCTTGAGTCAAGAAACTGCCTCTGAATGAGCAGAGTGCTTCTCTCTGTTGCTTGCACCTGTGGAGTAGAGGTTGTGACAGAGATGTTTTTATGTGAAGTACTCATGTACTCTGTGTGCGATAGTACCTTGGCTGAAGTAGGGCTTATTGTTATATTAATCTCAGAAATGCCTGCTTGTAGTGCCCAAAATCAGCTACACGGTGCAGTCTTTAAAGACTCTTTCTTTGAGTAGAAGCTGTAGTTATTCTTCATCTCTTAACCCCAGAGTTCCTCACCCTGCTGTAAAACTGCTTCCTGAGTGCAAGAACTAACTGCTTCTCTGCTCAGATGCTGAAATTTTTGAGCTCCGTGGCATTCCATTGCAGTGCTAATGAAATGACATGAGGTACTTGCTAAATACAGCAGCCCTGGCGAAGCAGCTCATTGTGCCTTTGTAGATTAGACTACAGTTAAAACAGTTTGCGTGTGTGACACTTCATGTGTAACCACTAGAAAGAATTTCTTGTTCTTGTGGTAGCTTGCAAGAGAGCGGCCAGTAATGATGGAGCTCTAGCTAAGGATGATGAATGTGTCTAAATATTGGGAATTAACCTTTGCAGATGATGAATTGTGGAAACTATGTGTAGCTTCTGCCATTCTAATTAATCTGGCTAAAATGTCTAGCAAATAGGGAGATGTCTAATGTGTCTGAGAAAGAAAATGACTGCAATAAAGGGACAAATACCAGCACATTGCAGGAGGTGCCCTGTGCTTTTTAAGTCTGTGTATCCAGATCTTGATTGATAGAAAAGATTGTGAGATTAAATGCTGTATATTTTTTAAATTCTAATTTTAATTTAGATTTCTAACTTTAAATATATAAAGCTAATGTTATGGCATGCTTTATTTTGACAGATAAGGAAGGACATAATTTTTCTGTATTCTGGGTGCTGGTGAGTGTTATCCTAGGTGCAATAGCCATGCTGTGCAAAGAACAAGGAATTACAATACTGGTAAGAATCTTCTTATTGACTGAATTTTGACCTCAGCAGCTGTCAGGTGCAGTTGTGAAGCCTACAAAGATGAATCTCCTCCACCGCTAATCTCATGCACACCTCTTTGTTCTGTTCAGAAAACTAGTTAATGTTGACAAAAAGCAGTATTCTAGTAGATCTGTCTTGATCGTACCCTTGCCAATCTGTTGGAATTCTTCATTTTATCTTTTGTAAGCAGGTTGCATATATCTCTTAATTTTTTGCAAAATTTAAAAGATTTACAGTGTTAGTTTCAATGCGCATCATGTTCGTTGGCCTTGGTTTTGAATGTAGTTGTTGAGATAGCAGACCTACAAACCTCTCATTGAAGGCTTATGAACAAAGATATAACTGGAGGAGAGCATTTTTAAAAGCTCCACCCTCTTGCTGTTGTGGACAGTAATTAGAAGGAGAGACATTGTTTGTGCATTTCTAATACTGAATCTCTTCCTTCTGTCCCTTATTTAAGGGTCTGTCTATGAAAACAGAGACAGTTAGTGCTCATGTTCATTGTGCTCTTGTTTTTTATTACTTCAGTGAAGACATTCTAGTTTGGGTGACCAAATCAGCCACCTGAAATGCTACATCTGTGATTTTTACCTTTTATATAGCCATATATCTTTATAAATAAATCTGATTTTTAGCTTTAAATGACATAGATAAAGCAACAGAATCAGAAGAATTCTTTGCCGCAAGGACCCCATTATCCTTGCTAGAAAAAAAGGGAGAAGAACTTACAGAAAACTTCTTGCTTTAGGATGTTATTTTTTGATAGATTTTTGTAGAGTGATGCATTTTTCAAAGCTGTCTGTAAGGGAAACAAGGAATTCTCTTAAAACATGGTGTGATTTATTTCCTTTAGTGGTATGAAGTAATTATTTGAGCTAGCAGACACAGAATTGTTACTGGATCTGGGTTTTTCTATTTGCTAGAATGATTATATTTATTGTTGTGCTGAGGGGCAGAGGTCAGAGGGATGAAGGGAAAAATCACACATTAATAAGATTGCTTGTAGGCTGAATGTATTTTTCAGCAGTTTTCAGTGGGATTCTTGCCTTCCTATCCATAAAAGTGAGCCAAAAGCCTTTTAACTGCTAGGTGGCCTTTCTACATGGAACCACGGCACTCTCTAACCCATCTTTTGTCTTCTGTCTTTGACTGCTAGAAAGAGACTTGTGACCTCCCGGTGTACTAATACTTTGCCTCACCTGGAACTATTTTTACTGTCTTTTTTCCATTGAGTCTTTAGAACATTGGTAATTTCCAAAGTTTTTACGATCTAAGCTAAATATTCAGGGGTTGTCATGCTTGGTGACTGCTGAAACATTGAAGGGAAAATGTTAAAGTTGGATTTTGCTGGTCACCTCAACAGAATTACCCCTGGATACATTTTGATTGCTTGCTTGGGGATAGTATGTGCAAGCGTAGTCCTGCAAAGCAGTGAATATTCTCTAGTTTTGTGTGCAGTGGCTGATGTCACATAGAACTTTGCTTTTTTTTTTTTTCCCCAGCAACTTCCACTGTGTGTGTTGGTGTAATTGCAAGAAAAGCAAGTCTGATACCTCTGTCAAATCTTTCTGAGCCTTTGTTTGTTGTGACAATTTATGTACCCTTTAAACACAGTATTTCTGAAACCTGACAGTCGAAAGATGCCATGCTGCACAGCAAAAAATAAGTAGAAGGCTTAAAGAAACTCCACTTTACTGAGGGAGGCCTTTTGACTGCAGCATTTACGCTGCAGAACATTTGGGAAAGAAGATGGAGAGTAGAATACTGTTGTGACCATGCATGTGGGGTCTAGCTTGCTGGTACATGGTATTCCCCGAAGGGTTATTCCATGTAGCGGGAGAATCCCTATTACAGTAACATGATATTCTACCCATCTGAGCTGAAGTTCTCAATTTACCATTCTGCCATCATTACTACCAACGTATCTCTGTACTTGTTTGGAAACAGAATTAAGATGTACAATAACTCATGGTAGAAGTGGAAGTTAATATTTTTTTTTTTAAAAAAAAAATATTTGTGGTTAGCTACTCCATCTTATGCTCTTATTTTTCTCTTGGTTGCTTAGGGTTTGAATGCAGTGTTTGATGCACTGGTGATTAACAGGCTAAATGTTTTGGAGCTTATTCAAAAGTTACGACATAAGGACAAGTCATTGGAGGTGAGTCCTCAGAGGTTTTGTTCATTCTGGCCATTCAGACAGTGATGTACTAAAGGACAAAGATACAATTTCTGACAGTTTTGTTGTTGTTAAGTATTTAAAAAAAAAAAAAAAGAAAAAAACAGAGATATTTTCAGTCAGCCTAGTAAGGCAATGTGCTGTGACGTCTTTGCAGCAACATGAGTAGTAATGAGATAGCATTAGAATTGCATTGGATAGTGAAATCAGTTCCATACTTCTCTCAACAATATGTTAAAAATATGGTGTGGAAGAGCTAACTGCTTGATGCAATGAGTTCTCCAGGGTCAGTAGCTATACACCTCAAATGGTTGTTTAACGCAGTTTGGTCAGAGTGAAGAGAGAGATATTTTTTCAGATTCTTAAATGAGATAGTTAGACATTTGAAAAAGTGCATTAAAAAATGTTATGTCTACTTTGCCAATCCCATTAAAGTATTACGCTCGTTTTTTTCAGAATACAAATTACCAAACAGGAGACAGTTCCTAGTAGGTTGAGAGTTTAAAAGAAAAAAATATGTAAGCACTGATAGTCTCTAAGGATTGAATTTCTGACTTTTGTTGATAACACTTTATCTAGTATTGGGTCAGGTGTAACCTGGCACCTAGTGTTTGCACGGGCAAACAAATCACAGAAACAATCAGCCTCTGGTGAATGATTGATAACAGCCAAATAGACCAACAGCCTACTAGAACATCACTACAGTTCAATAGCTAAATCATTTGCCTCTCCTATCCAAGGTTCAGCAAGGCAAAGGAATATTCATTGTACTTTGCATTGATCAGTGGTTTCACTGCAGAGAAGTCTTGCTCATGTTTCTGAGTAGCACAGCTCCTATGAGGCTTTTAAATTCCTTTACAAGGAGTGAAGTGAGGAGCTTCAGGGGGAAATCAGTGAAAGTGGAATCTTTAGAACTGAAACAGTCGATTTGACCAAGAATGGCTAAGTGAGGGATGCAGGAGTATTTCAGGCATTAAATAGGAATGCTGGAGAATCTTGCTGTATGAGAGTAGTGTCAACTAGCATATGACAAGGAAAGAGTCTAGAGCTGTAGAGGACTAAAGCAGAGCTGGTTCAGAACTGAAGTGATGGAAGTGAAAGGTAATAAGGAGGACAGTGGGAGTAAGTGGCTAGTCAGCCTCACATCAGTACCTGGCAAGATCATGGAACAGATCCTCCTGAAAGTTATGTCAAAACATATGAAAGACAGGGAGGTGATTAGAGACAGCCAATATGGCTTCACCAAGGGTAGATTGTGCCTGAGTAATCTAGTGGCCTTCTACGATGGAGTGACTGCATCAGTGTACAAGAGAAGAGGTGCTGATGTCAACTACCTGGATTTCTGTAAGGCCTTTGATATGGTCCCCAACAACATTTTTGCTGCTAAAATGGAGAGATATGGGTTTGACTGATGGACTATTAGATGAATTGGCTGGATGTCCACAACCAAAGAGTTACAGTAAGTGGCTCAATGTCCAAGTGGAAACCGTAATGAGTGGTGTCCTCAAGGGTCCATACTTGGACCAATACTATTTAATATCTTCTTCAATGACACAGATAGTGGAGTTGAGTGCGCCCTCAGCAACTTTGCAGATTACACCAAGCTGTGTCGTGCAGTTGAGGGAAGGGATGCCATCCAGAGCGACCTTGGCAAACTTGAGAACTGGGTTCATGTGAACCTCCTGAAGTTCAACAAGGCCAAGTGCAAGATCCTGCGCCTAGGCCAGGGCAATCCCCAATATCAGTACAGAGAGCAGCCCTGAGAAGGAGGTCCTGGGGATACTGGTGGACAAAAAATTGACATGACCCAGCCATGTGCGCTTGCAGCCCAGAAAGCCAACTGCGTCCTGGCTGCATCCAGAGCAGCGTGACCAGCAGGTCAAGGGAGGGGGTTCTGTCCCTCTGCTCCGCTCTGGTGAGACCCCCCTGCAGTACTGCCTTCAGCTCTGGGGTCCTCAGCACAAGGAGTACATGGACGTGTTGGAGCGAGTCCAGAGGAGACCACGAAGATGATCTGAGGGCTGGAGTACCTCTCCTGTGAGGACAGGCTGAGAGAGTTGGGATTGTTCAGCCTGGAGAAGGGAAGGCTCCAGGGTGACTTTATTGTGGCCTTTCAATACGTAAAAGGGGTTTATAAGAAAGATGGAGAGAGACATTTTACCAGTGACAGGCCAAGGGGCAATGGCTTTAAACTGGAAGAGGGTAGATTTACATTGAATAGAATAGAATATTTTCAGTTAGAAAGGACCTACAATGATCATCTAGTCCAACTGCCTGACCACTTCAGGGCTGACTAAAAGTTAAAGGGTGTTATTAAGGACATTGTCCAAATGCCTCTTAAGTGCTGAGAGGCTCGAGGCATCGACCACCTCTCCAAGAAGGCTGTTCCAGTGTTTGACTAGCAATAAATTCTTTACAATGAGGGTGGTGACGCACTGGAAGAGGTTGCCCAGGGAAGTTGTGGCTGGCCCCCCCCCCGAGGGCCAGGGAAGTTGTGGCTGCCCCATCCCTGGAAGTGTTCAAGGCCAGGTTGGACGGGGCTTTGAGCAACCTGGTCTAGTGAAAGATGTCCCTGCCCATGGCAGGGGATTTAGAACTGGATGATCTTTAAAGTCCCTTCCAAGCAAACCATTCTATGATTCTGTGACATGTCAGAGTCAAACCTTTTTGGAGGATTACTCTTTAAGCATGAAAAGCTCAAAGTGTTATACTTCTGTTTTGTGACAGTTCTGACTGGGTGAAGAAAACATCAAATGTGCCTTTTTCTTCTTCTTCTTTTAATAGAAGTAATTAATTTTAGCTCCTGCCTCCTACAAAAATCTGTTCTGCTCCTTTCATGGAAGTGTATCTAAGATTGTTTTGTTTGTTTTGTTGAAAGGCAGGTCTCAAATTCTCTTGTAGATTTTTTTTCTTCTCAATTGAGACAGGTTTCAGTTTCATGCCAGATTTCAGTTAACTCTGAATCAAAGACGATATGATAACACTTCTTTGACTTTTAAAATTCTGCGTACTAAGAGATTTTGTGGTGATTTGTGAAATCTGACCTTTAAGAAGCTGCATGTACTGTTAAATGAAATGAAGCCTGGGATAAGAGGTTTTGTGTAGTTAATCTGTCATAAGGCAGTTGTAAATTGTCACTATATGGTTTTCCTTCATAGCACAATTCTCTTCCGAAAACAGTTTTTAGGAATGGGAATTATAGGAATTTTCCTATAATCCTCATTGTAGCGATTTTGGTTACTTAGATGTGTAAATTGGAAGTAACCATTTGAGCACAAAGGCTAACTTATGTAAAATCAACGTTACAAACTTTTTTTATCCTTAGGCGTTCAACTTAATATTTATGACGACTCTGTTGTCAACTACAAACATTAAAAACTCATCTGAATATTACTTTTAAACTTAACTTTGCCATCATTTTAGAGAATAAATATCTTCAGCTAGGGCACTGGTGGATGTCTGTCTTAGAAATAACTAATATTGATCTCCTAAAAAATTATGATGGTGCTTGCTAATCAGCTTATTGCAATAATAGGTAATAATAATCAGTGTGCCAGTTCCTATGGAGGACATAAAACTGATCATGTATAACTATCAGGTAGGTTTTTAAAGGTAATAGAAGCTTATCAGACTAAGGGAGGAAGGTAGGAATAAAGGAAAGCTAATACTGGAGATCACATGACCATATTTTTTAGGATCCAGTGAACTCTTCCATGTAAAAATCCATAGTTTACTGACGCTTTCATCTTCAGATGTGTAGAATGGAAAGAGAAGTGGCCCAAATGATCTCTCATTTCGGAGAAACTCTCGTCTTCTGTCTTCTGCTTCTCTAATGGCTTGTTGAAGCTGCGTAGAATAATTTCAGCCATCAGGTTTCAGAGAGCTCTAAGGCAGCCCTACAGCACTGTAGTGGAAGGGATTAGAGAGCAGCTATGTCATTCATTTCCTATCTGAGTTATCATTTGCTAGCTGGGTAGGGTGTTAGAAGCTTGGATTTGCATCTCAAAGCTGTGACAGGGATATTGTTATAATTACTGATGATTCTGTTTTCAGTTTCTACTGGTGAAGCTTGAAGAACCTCTGTAGTATACAGTGGGTTTGTTTTCATTTATGAAACTGATGTGTGCTTGGAGAAAATGTCTTACACTTCACGGAGGGAAAAACAGAAAAGTCTGTCAAATTTAGCTTCTATAACATCACTTCTCTATGTTTTATGTGAATTGCCTTCTTTAGACCCTAAAGTGTATATTATAAATATATTATAAAATATGTGATGTAAATCAACTGAGTTAATGTAGATAAAACACTAATTTATTTTTTTTATCTTGGGTAATTTTAGCCTGACCAAAGTGATTTGGGTGCCTGTCTGTGATTAGCTTTTTAATCATGTTAGCAATTGTGAAAATTTTAATTCAGTTTCTAGTTCCTCCTGGTTTCTGACCATGCAGTTTTCTTGTATGCATGTAATTTTACCTCTAAAGAGACCAAGTGGACAAAAACTTTCTGTGATAAGCAGTCCACTGGATATAGCTATTTAAAACAAAGTTCACAAAGTAACCATCCTTTGCTTTAAAAAGACAAGATAGATCAATCTAATACACCCTACAGTAAAGGTTGTAGTCTACTCAAATTCCCTATCAGAAATTGCTGTGCAAAATTACATCAGCTATAGAGTTACTGAGGATTTGTAGAAGAGAGGCTTCTTGAATAAAAAAGTTTTCTGATTGAGAAGGAAATGAAAATGTTTGCAAAAATATTTTGCAATTAGTCAATGAAAGCATAGTAAAGTTTGAGAGAGAGCAAAATAATGTTCTTCATATGAGGTGTTTTTTTTTTCTTTCTTTCTTTCCTGTAGAATGCTGGGCTGTTAAGAAAGGGGCTACTTTTCAGGATAACTCTTCTGATGTCTGGAGGGGCCAGTATACTTTACATACGCTGGAGGATTATGGGCACAGGACCACCGGCTTTCACTGAAGTAGACAACCCAGCTTCATTTGCAGACAGTCTGTTTGTGAGAGTAAGTTGTGAAGTTGCTTTTTTCTGGCCAGCCCAGAACATTTGTCTTTGTCATCAAATTGAATTTTCTGTGCTTCAAAGAAACAATAAAGTGGGCAGTCTTTATCTTTCAAGATATGTGATGAGTCACCTTCACTCGTGCTGCTGTAATGATTCTCTGCAATTTTTTTAAATAGTATACCTTGTATATTCTTTACATTCGATTTAGCATGTACTGTACACATTGAAGTACATTTCCATTTACTTACTATTTTTCCCATGCATGCAAGGATTTAGCTTTTGCTGATTTTTATCCTTTCTGTGCTTGACTTTTCATCTGTTCTTTCACAATTGAAGAAAATAGCATAAAGTTCTGGTCTGGTGCATTTGGAGTACGTTTTAGCTTTATATCTCTGGCTGCATTGAGGCTCTTTCTGGAGATGGAGAATGAAGGGCAAAGACAGCGGGTGCTGTCTTTTGACATTTTCTCCTATTGTAGGAGATTATTCTTTTTACATGTGGATATTGGTTGGACAGCACAGGATTGCATTTCCATGCTCTCAATAGGAAAGCAACCTCGCTATTTAAAAAAAATAAAAAGAATTAAAATTAATTTCACAGCTGTAAAACAAATGGTTATGGAACTAGTTAAAGTCTAACAGTATTTAAGACTTCTTTATTGTACAAGATATATTTTGTGATAAGGAAAATGATAGCAGAGAGAAGAACTACAGTTACCGCCCCCTCCCTTAAGTTTAATATCAAATAAATGTTTGTTTTCTTTTTGACTGACAGGCTATAAACTATAATTACTACTATTCGTTGAATGCATGGTTGCTGTTGTGTCCCTGGTGGCTGTGTTTTGATTGGTCAATGGGCTGCATACCCCTCATTAAATCCGTCAGCGACTGGAGGATAATTGCACTAGCAGCACTTTGGTTCTGCCTAATTGGTCTGATATGCCAAGCTCTGTGCTCAGAAGACAGCCATAAGAGAAGGTAAGAGACAGTGATGAATTCTGAATGCTTGGCCAACTTGAGTACAGTATTATTTTGTTAAATCCACTACTGATAATTTTAACAATTCAGTGGAACCAGTGTCTAGCAAATGCAGTTCAAATAAATATTTATAGCTGTCATTACAGTTTTATCCCAATTTGGGCCCATCACTGTACACTGACAGTGTAACAGGGAAACAGAGTTGGAGGAGGAGGTATGGATGGCTGCTTTTATTTTTCTCCTGAAGTGGCATTTTGAGATCCTTAACACTGTAGGTGGTAAAAAGAAATATGTGCTCAGAACAGAGTAGGAAATTATGTATGTTGTTGCCCCTACTTCTTACGAGTCATCATCTACTTTAATCTTCTAATAATGAAAGAGAGAGGAGATGTGCCTTGAAAGGAGGTAGAAATGCTGGCCGTGGCCATAGAATTAAAAAGTAAAATGCTGATCCATAGTACCTACTGAGGAAACAACTTGTCCTTTACCCAAAGGAATTAAAAAATTTATTGTAAACTATTATGTCTCACTAAGGGCTTCTGTTTAACTTTTCAGGTTCTGTTCCTGTGGATTTTATATATAATAATAATTTCTTTAAAAATTTTCAACAGCTCAATCATAGAATCATAGAATGGTTTGATTGGAAGAGACCTTAAAGATCAGCTG